CCCGCCAACCACCCACATTCACTAGTTCACCAGCATTGTGTCAGGACAAAAGACTTTGAGCACACATACATGACACAAAACAAGGCAAGAAACCAACTTCAAAAGACCAACAAAACAGCCATTTTAAAATTATTAGTAATGAAAAGCTTTGTAATACAGTGATTAACCAGTGTAACAAAATCTTGAAAAACAATACCAGGTACCAAGGGATAACACAAAAAGGGGTCAACGGTCAATAGGATAGTGAAACACAACTCACACGTGATGGATCAAGACTTTGGGGGCTCTTAAATACATACACTCCTTAGAGTTAGAGCTATATACACTCCTTAGAACTAAGATCTCCTTGAACAAGACAAACTATAATTGGACAGACAATGGCTACCTGCGAACTCACAACTACAGAGATGATAAACACACAGATTTTCGGCACTTAGTGAAGCACTTTAAACACGGATGTCTGACACAATTAAACACAAAACTTAGCCAAAACCATAATGGTCACTCAGTTCCTGAACCCAGTGACAAAGAGGTGCTTACAAGAGCATAACAAGAATGCAATGTGTTCAAGTCACACAGAGATCTGTGCTGTTCACTTTCTGTTGTGATGCTTACACAAAAACTTATTCCTGTGAAACAACATAAAATATTTAGAGCTTTAAATATTCTACCATCTCAGTACTGGCATACCAAGTTGGTCACAAAAGGATTGAAATATTAGTCTAGGGCAGATTTTCTCTGAAGACCTCCAAGAGTCTGTCCTATCTTTACACAGTTCTCTTTTTTCACATTATTATCTAAATCTAAGCCCTTTTTTTTTTCTAAACAAAGCAAATATATGAAAGCACAGTGTGGTGATGAATTAGGCAAGTGCTTGGTCTTAATCTGAATAGCACTCAACTACAGATAAAAGCCAGAGAATAACAGGAAGTTGTATGAATGGGTTAGGGGCTCTGACAACTCAATATTATTTTAAATTCACTCGCATACCTTTTCTTTGTGACTGAAAGTCATAATAATTTAAACTGACATATACACACACACGCTACAATGTACATGGATAAATAGCTTCAGCTGCAAGACACCAAATGTGAAGCATTATTGATTATACAGGTGTCAGTTATGCTAAGTGATTCTCTTCAACATTTTCATACACTCATGATACAAAGAGAGTGTGCATCTTACTATTATTCTTACCATGCATCTGTGTGACCTTTCAATGGAAATCCATTCTTATTTTTACAGTAAACACAGCAAAAATTTGGCATTATCTGGCCAACAACATGGAAACTTCCCCAGTACACAACAGACATTTAATAAAAGAAAAACATTTCACAGTACATAAGACAAACAAGTCGAAAGAAAGATGCAGTGAGGGACTAGAAGTCACAACAAGTTTGAGGTCATCATCACAAAAACATGCTACATATATAGCTGACAACTGAAATTCTTTGAAAGATAGATTTCTTCAACAAGCAAGGTCAAATTTTATCTTTATATTAAAACTGAGATCTAAGGCAAAAAGAATAAAAATTTACACTAAATTCTGCACTCTGCATCCTTATTCAATAACAGAATACACACACACTCTCTTGGATACAGCTAACTGTATCAAAACCATTTTTATATATCTACACACTGACTGCTGTAAAGCCGCACAGACATAATATTCTATTAGTTCTAGTACAAACACTGTCTATTTATAAATTATAGACACTGCGATGACAAGTTCAAAAGATAAATTGTGATTTTCCCTTGCACTAAATGTCACTGGAACTGACACACAGGGGGAAAAAATGGCAAATAATAACACGCCAAAACTTTTCTCCTCCGCACATTTTGTATCCCATCAAACATATAGTACTACTACTATTGTACACTAAATGTTCTGTACTGTACCTCATCAATACAATTTAACTATTCAGAAGACAGGCAGCTTTTATCTTGCCTATCAGGGCTAACCAGGGCTTGAGGAAAACAACCTAGCAGAAAGTTGAAGACTGTTTACTGTTTAGACAAACATAAAAATATTTCTCCAGTTGGGAATCAAACCATGTCTTTTTCATTCAAGACGAGCTACCTATTCCTTCACAGACCTTTACTGCCCATTATTCAAAACATTCCTTCAGCAAGTTGAGAACACAGTCGGTACATTTTAAACTTTACCTTGATCTTAACACCATGTGTTATATTTTAGAAACTAGGGTACATATGTATGATGTGGTTTAGTTGATTTATTAAAAGAGATTTTTAAAAAGGACAAAAACTTCTTGGAACGTTGTAACCAGTACATATCTTGGTCACAAAGAAACAAAACACATTTGTACTAGTACATTTTGAGTCAAAAGGAATAAAACCCAATGACCACAAAAAAAACAAAACCAAGAGGGGTAAAAAAGCAATGTACAATATAGAGTATTCTGACACCAACGCAATTCTTTGCAAATCTGGTTTCTATTCCGTCTCAGATTTTCGTCCATATTTATGAACATTTGCACACATTTCTTTCACACAAGTCTGAAATATTTTACATGATCAAAAGTGCACCAAGTGAGCATGGTAAGTTCTGAAGCATAGATAGATAATGCATTCAAGTCATAAGATATAATGCAGCAAGAATTCTGCCAGAAGAGAAAGATCACTGACATCTTCTGGCCCAAGACTGGTAGTGAAGTAAAACACTGATAGACCACATGTGCATATTGTATACTCAGTTTTACACTGTGTTTTCAAAGGTCCCCTGTTATTTTGCTAGAACTAAGTGTTATGGAAGTGAACACCCACCTCATAAATAGCTCCTCCCACACAGGAACCACCATACCTCAGTAAAAACCTTACTGTACAGAGAGACTTGAATAGTTTGTTTTTTGCTATATTCTTTATTTCTGTTGTAATATGGAGACAAACATATCACTGATCAGTTTAACAAACCACACAAATGTTTTCATAGACCCCCTGCTTCATTGTGGGTTGTTTTTTTCTTTGAATCACCAATACCAGCCCCACAATTTACTTGGAAAAAATGTATTTTCAGATGCAACAAACATTTGTGCCTATATTTAGGGGACCCCCCCCCCCACAAACATTTACTTTGCAACATACTCTATAATAAGCCTAAACAAACAAACATACTAATGCTGGTCTCAGTCTTACTGTGACTGGCTCTATTACATGTGAAGTGAAAACAGTAAGGTGCAGTGGTTCACAACCAAACTCAGTCAAAAATTGATCTCTTGGCAGTCTCACATGAACAACAAAAAAACAAAATGCATTGTTTTACAAAATGAAAACATTTATGTATTTCTTACACTACAGAAAAATTCACTCTGCATTGCAATCAAAACAAATAAAATAAAGGAACAATACAATTAAAAACATACAAATGTCTAGGCTACTTTTCTCTCTTCTCCTTAGAGGTAATAATTACCGGAGTAAATGTAAAAGACACATTCTGAGATACAAATGCAAAATCGGGATCTGCGTTTATTAGTCAGCTAAAAATGTAGGCTATGTACTGTTCCAATAAAAATCTTCATCTTAATTTCTGAGCACAAAAGTTTTTCAAGGAATAAAAGAAAGTGACAACAGAGAAACATTTGTCCCGTAACCCTCAGCTAACTAAATCAGAAATAATGGACAATCTTCCATGGATCTACACACTGTTTATACTATTGCTGGCAGTGTTGCTCAGAGCAGGCCACTTTCTGTTCATGGCTTTTGTGTAAATCAGTTTTGTGAGACTTCACCAGGCATCATTTGGCTGGGTCAGAGCACAAGATAAATTTATCATACTTACATTTGTATTTCCATGCTTCCCATGAATAAAGACCTGGTTGCTATAATAAAATGTATTCACATTAAAATTCTCAAGAAATGAAAACAACTTACAAAGAATTTGGAATTATATTAGAGGGTTCCCCTATGCAAGTACCATTGCAAGACTATGAAGAAAGAATTAATTGTAACTACACAGTGCAGTACTAGGTGTCTGGAGTAGCCACAATAAATAAAAGGAACCAACAGCTTATGGCTGTATATGTATTTGAAAGGACCATTGTATGTTGAATGGGCCAGTATGCTTGGAACATTAATAAAATTCTCATTTTATTGTGAGGTGCCTTGAGTCACAGGTGAGTGGGCGCGAAAGAAGTGATCTTCATTTACATCAATATTATTATTATCATTAAATTTCTTCTGAAGGGCCAAGTAGAAAGCAACCATCTTTAAATACTGTTTCTTATTAAGTATATTTGACTTATTGTCTTACTTATGTCTAGTTATGCCAAAAAATGTGGCCCGTGACCAATAAGAGTAAATAAATCACAGAAAATTTTTAACATAATTGTAATCATGGCATTCTCCAACATCTATTCCTATATATTATATGAGCTCTTCAGTTTTGTGTCACCACTAATGCTTCTGAACATAATTATTAAAATTCTGGATAAGCAAAAGATCAGATAGGCATTTTATTCTCTGACATGTCTCCACGTAAAAATAGCACATGACATGTATCATTATATTTTAACTAATAAAAATATATTTCACTGACAGAGATATACCCCACTTTCGAATCATAATTCAAATTATTTCAGTGAAGCAAGAAAAACTAGGCTGCAAGAAATACATCTGTAAATACTCAATCGAATATCTTCGATTTAAGGCAAAGAGCAAAACCACTATCCCACAAACTTCACCAAAAGTAATAGAAACGCAATATGATACCACACTTTTGTTTTAGTAAGTAAGAGTTTTACGGCACTTGCAACACAATAAGGTCATATAAGTGCCGAAGATTAGAGGTGTTTTAGAGGTGTTACAAGAGAGTAATAAACACAAAATAGAAGGAGAGGAGATAAGGACGATAGACGTTTGATAGAAAAAAAAGAGCAAACCACACCAGAACACCCGCCAACCACCCACATACCACATTTTACATCTGGTGAGAAAACACACTAATCAAGAGTAAGATAAACAAGGGACAGCTATGGTTTTTTTTAGTCTGTAACTGAAGCATAAATAAAAGTCATCTTTGTTAAATATTATATTCTGGTGTAAAAATTGTTGGGTTTTTTTGTTGCTGTTTGTTTGTTTTTTCAGGGGGGGGGGGTGTTAGTTTTACCTTTTTCAAACAGTTCCAAAGCTTTGAGTTTCCAACAATGCCACATCCTCACCTCAAGTCAGTTTACAATGATTCTTATAAACACAATGAGACTTTTCCTTGTGCTAGGCAGGATAAGGATCACATTTTCTTTAGACAAAGGACATTCTACTCAGTACAGTTACAAAAATATAGGCCAACAGACCACCAGCTGCAGACACCAGAAGAAAGGCGACACATTACCGCGTGGGAGAGTCAATTCCTTCACATTACACATTTAGCATCAAACACAATCGTTTTACCTACATACAAAAAGCAAGATCAACCAATGTGTTTCATAGTCATAGAAAATAGAACAAAATGGATAGATGGGACTGAAGTAATCGGGATTTGTGACAGTCAAGAGAAAGTCACGTCAGTCGTTTTTCTACTTTAAAAAAATTGTGGTTTAAAGACAATAGATTGAGTTTTACCCACAAAAAAAAAAAAGACCTAGTCATATATCATCAAGTAAAGAAATTTCCACTGTTCGAGGCTATAGAACATACCTGATACACTGACAAGATATGAGAATTTTAAAAAATAAATAAATAAAAATCAAGGACATCTATGGCACAAGGACAAAAAGAAAAACAGATTTATAAACTGAAATAGCAATGGAAATTGTGCAAGCAAGATGGTCAAGCACATGTCTGCAAGATAAATACATGCTGTGTGTACGTCCCAGCCTTATTTGCTCACAAGCAAGTGTGGTGTCAAATGCTCTCCGCTTTACGTACCTGACAGTATAGGGAGAGTATCATCATCATCATCATCACTGACAATACAGAAACTTGCAAACACAACCATGACCCAAGACATCTGATTGGACATTACAGTAGGAAGACAAAAGTACAAAAACTACGTGGGCAATGAAAACTTACTCAGAAAATACAGGTTCTGTATGCGACATAGACATTCAAATATATTTGGATTTCAGTATTGCCTTTCCTCCTACTGATAATCATCATCATCATTGTCTTTCTCTCCCTGGATCGAGGTACAGGCCACTGACAAATGCTTTCCACTTTTCCCTACTAGTTTCATAACATTATTCCATGTGTTTAAACTTTTCTCTACACCATTCTCTATGACTCTTTTCCAGGTCCAGGCAGCCTCCTCCTACTATGCCCCATTCTAGAAAAATGGCACCACTAACAATTATTAAGACAACCACCCATCATGCTTTCAAGACTTTTCAAAATGAAAATGAACATGATGTCATATCCCTGTAATGAAATTTTTTTTTTTAAACAGCAGCGTTGAAGAAAATATTTTTTAAACAGCACTGTTTCAGCAATAAAGCACAGAAGGTATTTGACAGAAATAAAGTCTGAGAGTAAAAGATGCTATGAGAACACCAAGACCAAATTATGTTGACAGGTCATTAGATGCTTCGAGGCCACACAAAACTCAAGGGACAATCAAATATAAGTATCATAAACCATGCAAACGGCAATGCTCATATAGTGGTTCTATCTTCACACAAGTACAAAAATAAAAGAACTGGCAATAATATCATCTACATCATTTTACACAACCATCTAGACAATGAGTAGGCCTACTTGAGACAAATGGAGAACTCAAGGAAGATTACAGGCTACCCGCGACAACAAGTAAAATTTTCACATTCCTAAGCCATTTGACATCCTCTGGTTAATAAAAGGTGCTTTAAATGAATAAATATATCTATACATATTGTGAATATCATCAGCATGCTGTGCACATGAACTAAGCCCACAAAGCAAAGTTTTCAAGAGAGAGAAAAAAGATGTTTCATTCTTTTAACAACTGTACCAAAATCATTTTTTTTAAGCACTTAGAATCTGAATTTCAATAAAATATTGCTTAGTTCATGCAACCAATACCACAGATAAAGAAACTGCTTTGAAAAATGTTCCTAATTTTGGGCTTCTCACATCTGAACAACTGGCCAGGGAAATATATTTTATATGTATGTGTGTGCGTGTGTAAATAAACATGCTGTGTTGCAACTTAATTCATACAACAGGAAGTGGGTAAGCTCTTGCTCATAAAAATAATGATTGTAAAAATATTGCTTTCAAAACTTTTAACCTGAAACCAACAAAGTAATATCTTCAGAATGCCTAAGACAGACTACGAGTAATCGCTAATCATCTAAAAGTATATTTGACAACAGTCAGTGAGTGCACATAGTAACATAATACTACACAGAGGCAAAACCTGAACGGTGCACTTAGTATACGTAGTAACGTAATACTACACAGAGGCTAAACCTGAACAGGCATTTAGTGTATGTAGTAACGTAATACTACACAGAGGCTAAACCTGAACAGTGCATTTAGTGTATGTAGTAACGTAATACTACACAGAGGCTAAACCTGAACAGTGCATTTAGTGTATGTAGTAACGTAATACTACACAGAGGCTAAACCTGAACGGTGCACTTAGTAATAAACAAGAAAACTTCAATTCTAACATACAAGAGTAAAACGTACTTGAAATAATACAAAGCCAGAAAAACTTAGTAGAGTAAAAAAAAAAAAATGTTTTTAAGCACATTGAAACAACTTCATTCGAATTGAAAGCGAAAACAAAAGAAACAAAAACTTAACAACTCCATCTAAAGGTGTTTGCAAAGTTTTTGAACAGCCTGCTATCATTCTCCTCCATACATTGTTGTTTAAAAAATTCATTCGGGGACTGGGGTCAGAACCTTCGTGACCCTTAGCCTGCAGGAACTGCACACTTAGTACAAGACAAAGTTCCCTAAGGCAGATGCTGCTCTTGTCATTAAGACACCAGGCACAACAAACGAGAAAGCAGAATTTTTACACAGACAAAGTGAAGAGAACTCAAATGCTCTAGCATTAGAATCATTTGCCATTCCTCTTTCAGTTTCCATCAATTACTAGTAAATTCAGTACACATCATTCTAATTCACTGTGATATCTGACGTCATAACATATTTTAAAAATCTGTGATAGGTTATCTATATAATTAGTAATTCAGATAACCTATTAAGAACAAAAGATATGAACCAAAAGCATTCTTCATCTTCTTTTGCGTTCTTCTTCCCCTCGTTTCTTAGTCTCCAACAAGAGTCTGGGGTAAGTTTTACATTTTTTAAATTCCTGTTGTTCCCACTACCGAAATAATTTTGACTATCACCACATTCTTTTATTATACCCTATTTCAGATACTTACACCATAATTCAATTTTGATGAATTCTGTTAAAAGTATGATTTAAAACACATAATAGAATCTATTTTGGCATTACTGGGAGTTATTGTTCTACAGCCGTTTAACAATATTTTGAGAATAATGAAAAAAAAAATGCTTTTAAAAAAATGTAGACAAGTGATATCTCTCAATGCTATGTGGGAAAATTGAAAGACAGCACCTCACACCGGACCGTTTAGCATCAAGTTGCATAAAAAATTTTCATACGAAATAAATAATCTTGAGATATCAAAAATCAAGTGATATGACAATGACAATGGTAATAATAGGAGAATATTCAAACAGTTTACATAGAACAAATATTCTAATTTTGAAGCAATTTTTCATCAACCTTGACAACAAAACAGTGCTAATGATGATGCAAATAGGTTACATATGAAATTCTTTCCAAATCTGTTTCTCTGTCACGACAATGTTTTGTCACTAAACCAGAATAGAAGGAAAAATATCATCCCACAGTTTTCAAATTAAAGGCAGACTGCTCATTACTTACTTTTGACCAACAATCATCTCATAAAGATTTTACTTGTCATCTCAACATTAATTTTCCTACAAGAGCTGAAGTAGCATTTTAGAGACCAATACACGCATGCTGAAATTGAGTAGCTTTTCAGGCCAGACAGATTATTTGAGTTGACATTTTTTTAAAGTTCCAGACATTCACTTGTGAGTATTCTAAACTAATCTCTCTTGCTTGGAAAATTCCGATGGTAGTAAATTTGAAAGATGGTTCCGCAGTTTTAGAGAAAAGAAACAATCTTTTTCTCTCCCATCTATGCGCAAACAAGGGTGCACAACTACTTCCAAAATCTTCCCTATCACCCAAAGGCAATTACATAAGAGGTAAATTTCTGAAACTGCAAGAGACTGAATCACTTGAGGAATAGTTTTAGTTTTAGAAGAGGTTTTACGGCGCTCGCAACTGCATAAGGTCATATGAGGCCCAAGGAGTGGATGTCAACAGAGAAGTCCTTACAGGGAATCATACTTACTCTGCTCACCTCTCAAGCTTCAACAGCACAAAGTCTGCTTCGACTATCAAGGCACCCCGGAAAGAGTGCGTCACAAGAGTGTGACAAAACATACAAAAGAAGTAGAGGAAAAAATGACAATAATAAGGATTAGGAAAGAAAAAGCAGCAGTTCCCTGCAGTAGATCAGGCACAGTTATGAGCATGACATTGATGAATCAGCCCATTTACAATTCTACTGTGCATGAACGAGAAAAGTCCCCCCCCCCTTTGGGAATGGCCAAAAGAAACTTCAGTCAGTGGCACCGCCCCGGGGGGGGGTACTTGAGGAATAGAATCAAAGAAGAAAAGTAACCTGCAAGAAGGATTGTACCCAAAATAATCAGTGTCATTTTTCTTGTGTCCTTTTTATAGTTCAAATACAACTGTTTTGCGATTTCTTATTAAGGAAAAAACTCAAAGGCTGAAACATAGTAAAAATTAGCATGCTACATCTATAAAACTGTTCACTCATAGTGTTTGACAGCAGTATAGATGACATTATCTACACCCCCATGGCGAAAGCCTATAATGACATAGGTAGCACAGCCTATCAAGCAGAACAATCTAAAATAAGGATAAAGGAAAAGAGCTATAAAAGTGACTAGTAAAAATATCACCCAGAATGCGACAACAGAGTACAACTTGCTCCTAACGGCTTCCTCACTGAGAGGGCTGGCATTCTTCTCCTCTTCATTATCTCCTGGCTCATTTTCAAAACTCTTTGACTCGTAAAACCGCCGGAGGCGTTCCTCCTTCTTGCTCCACAGTTCTCGGCACCACTTTTCCAGCTCCTCATCTGTTTCCGGGATCGTCTCCAATGGGTAATCTTCCACATAAAAGTGAACTTCTTCTGGAAATTCTCCTTTCAGAGTCTGCAGCTCACTTTGTATCAATGTTTTCGGATACGCCACAGTAACATCCAAGATGGAATCCAGTATTTGACCTGAAGGATGAACAGATAATCATATGCAAATACAATTACATGTATATGTTCATGGGAGATGGGAGAACAAAGCAACAAAAATGTTGGAAGTTGAAAAGAAAAATAGAGTTTTAGTTTTAGTAAGTGTTTTACTGCTCTTGCAAAACAATAAGGTCATATAAGAGCCAAAGATTAGGTGTTACAAGAAAGTAACACACACAAAAAAGAAGGAGAGATAAGGATGATAGATGTTTGAAAGGATAGAAGAAGCAAACCACACCACAGCACCCGCCAACCACCCACAGAGAGAAAAAAGTTCACATACAAAAAAGAAAAACGTTATCCTCAAGAGTACAAAATTACGCCGGTCTCTTATTTCCACATTCAGTACCAAACCTACAGCTAATTTCCAAACCCCTGTACATGATTGAAATACAATGTTATAACAAATGATTGAAATACTGTGTTACAACAAAAGATTGAAATACTATGTTACAACAAAAGAATAAAATATTATGTTATGCAGGCCGAAGGGCTACAACTCAGACGGACGCATGATCAGAAAAGTAGTACTCTGTTATAACAAAGACAAATACCTCAAGACAGTTCACTCTCCTGAAAAATGTCCTCATAAAAAGCGACTAATGCTTTGGAAGATGTTGCTATTGACAGAGATAAAAAACATTTTGAACGTTTCTCATTCAAAAGGTCTTTTAGAACAATCATTGATCCTACCCTACATACATCACTGCCAAATAACAGTATCAAAAGCATTACCAGCACTTTCTCGGCCATTTTTTAAACATCTCAAATAGACTTATAGAGGCCTCCATTATCTTGCAGTGAACTGTCAACCAACTGTTTGATGTACTAAGCCAAAAACTTTGAGAGCTTTTTTTATTGCAGTTTCTTTACCTGTGGTATCAGCTGTACACACCTGTGAAATTTTGCTTTCTGAACTTTGGACATTTTAACAGCTTGTTGACAACGTGACCTTTCATTTAAACTGGCCGGCCTCCCTTGACAAGAAGGCAGACAAAATGAAAATCACATGTCTAAGCATGCACAATTGGCACCACCCTCTAGTATGGAGAGTTAAAAAAAAAAAATTAGATATAGAGAACTCTAATTTTATATAAAAAACTCTTACCTTTTTTCATTTCTTTCACAAAATGAATGAAGCCAGTAGTTTTAGGGTGTAGTACATAATCATACTTTGGGTAACCTTTGTCCTCAGCAAACTTGTGGCTCCTTGCTATAGCTTTATGGCACATATCTGTGCCCTCGGGGAACAGTAAGAACTGAAAAAAAGAAAAGAGTACTGCTGTGAAAGTCTTGATAGATTTCGGATCATCAGAAACAGAAAGAACATAATGGTTTCAGAGAGTCAATGAATTATTTAGCAGAAAATTTCTTAGCTTTAGTAAAGTTTCTGTCAAATCTCAGCACCACAAAAAAGGACTCTGGTAACTTACAAGGATAGAGCCGTAAGAGCTCCATAAAATAAGCTTAAAAGTAGGTAATCCAGGTCAAACTGGGGCAGTCTAACTCTGCTTCTACCTATTTCTTTTTCATTTCAAATTGCACTGATTACAGCAGGTATTTTGTCTTGAACTCATTCACAGCAAAGTGTATTTGTAAAAGTCATGCACAGAAAATATGTTGAAGAAGGATGGTACCTCTCCAGATAAAAAGTACAGAACATGTCACCATTTAAACAGGAAGGGAAGGGCTAGAAAGGGCAGATCAGATAAAAGCGGCTTAAAACAAAAAACATACATAAGTAACAAAATAATTATCTGAAAAACTTGGGAGACTAAAGACTTCTTCATTTATTGAGAGGAGAACACTACATGAGGTGTGTTTCTAATTACAGCAGCTGAAATAATATTGTATCAATTGTTCAACTTCGGATTTTCCCCTTTTGAAAAAAATATTGATTAATTTCACATCCTGCACCTTTTGGTGAGAGTACAAATTAATCCTGAAATCAAAAGGGTTTTTTTAATGACACCAAAGATAGTACATAACAAGATGGGCCACTCAGCCAAAAAAGTGTCCGCCGGAAGTTCGCTCTTTGCTTCAGATGGCGCTGCAGTCTGTTTTGAAGCTCTCTTTCATTTCTCCAGAAGAATAGGAATAAAACACCCCCTTGCGTGCGCAGATCGACTGCTGTACATCAGCTGTTCGGGTTCGTTCAGTGCGGAGTTTTAAGGTGGTTTTTTTTAAATTAAAATGACCTCTTGCTTTTCATTCTAGAGTCAAATTAAACGAAGAAAACAGTCACCCTTTCCTCAGGAAGAGGTTTTTTGTCAGCGTAACCATTTTTAAAAAGCGTTCTTCCGAAATTTAAATTCATATTTATTCAAAAACTTGTTAGTTTCACTTTGATTTTGTTAACACAAGTAGGGTAACTCTATTCGCAAAGGGTGCGCATTTGTGAAGAGGGAACCACCAAATTTTGAGGACACTTTTTTAATTGGCTCAAAGAGAGGAGTGGCCCCTCTTGTTATGTTATGACTCTTTGATGACACTAAAATAAAAAACATTGAGTACTTTTGAATTTACCTGAGGCTTTGACTTGACTTTTGAAAAGTAGTTGATTCCATTTGCAATATGATCTTTGTCAAGGTCCCATTTTCTTTGCAAGAATAAAAATCCAGCACACTGCATGGCCCATCCTGCAATTCCAACAGAGAATATATAATGAAACAAGGTACTGACTGCAATTCTCAAAGTACATGGGAGTTTAAGAAAGTGAACTGAAAGTCTGAAACATACGCAATATATGATTAGGAGAGGTTGTACAATTTATACATTAATTCAGTCAGCTGTCTAGATCGCCATACTTATGGAAGAATAAGGAGAAAAGACTGATAAAGGTAACTGAGAGAAACCTATTCTTTTTCAGTGATGCTAAAATTAAAGTTAAAGAATGTGAAAACTTTACCATAAAATAAAATTAACAGTTTAAGAAAGAAAGAAAAATAGGTTGGTTAAGGTTTCAAACTGCTGTAATGAGAACTAGGTAACACGAGTCCAAAGGCACAGTCAAATTCAAGACTGACATTGAAATCCAAGAAGAAAATCAAATCATAACACAATAAAGTGATTAATGTAGTTGACCTTTCATTGCTACACATTAGCTACACAAAGGAAAAGGAAGAAAAGGTCATCCATAAAACAAAGGGGGAAAAAAGGTAAGCAATAAAAGAAAAAAAATCATGACAATGGAAACACTAAATTTCACCAAAAACAAAGCTAAGAGTAGGTTCAGGAAAGACATCCCTAATAAGGACACTTTGTTTAAGCACAGAATGATAACATCTAGCATAATGAGTCTAGCAGAAATAAATAGTCAAAGAGAATACAAGACAGTCAAGAGAAATAATAAGACAGAAAGATGAAATAATCTTAAAAGATATGCTTCATTTGTCAGTAACTCTTTTAAGAAGAAAGAGGCATTTAATAGACTACTTGACCTTCACACTGAAAAGAAAACAAGAAAAAAAAGTAATGATCAAAATCAACCAAAAATATTCATTCCTACCTGCCCCCGGAAACTTTTTCAGTGGAGCCTTAAGAGAAATTCGATATTCCTCAATAGAGTTGAACCTGCACAGGTAAGACATGAGGAATAACCAGTCCAGCCGAGTGCGGTGGTTTGACAAGATGAGAGCACTGTTTCCTCTACGGGCTGGCTTGCCTTTTATCACGATTTTCATCCCCATTAACAATTCATACAATGCCTGAAAATGCAAAAAAACTAAGGATCAACGATACAAATGGGATGTACATTATTGTATCCAATAAGGAAAATGAAAAATGGAACTAACAATGCAACTATTTCTTTCTCCTTACACTACACTATTATCAGTATCAAAAACAGAAAATTCTTGAATTTGGGTACCAAATCAGAGCCAATAATGCAAACTGACCAGGGTACACTAACCTGAACATTTTTTTATTTCCGTTAGTGGGAGGGGTAGGGGCATCAAAATTTTACCCAACAGGAAGGCCAGATGCTATCAGTATTATGAGTATATAAATCAACATATTTGACATCAATTTTACATCATGCATCAAACAGGTTTTTTTAAAGATTTAGTAGAGATTTTACGGCACTCGCAACTGCATAAGGTCATATGAGCGCCAGAAGATTAGAGGTGTTACAAGAGAGTAACAAACGTAAAAAAGAAGAAGGGGAGATAAGGACGACAGATGTTCGATAGGAAAGAAGAAGCAAACCACACCAGAGCACCGCCAACCACCCACTCAAACAGGTTTAAAAAAAACAATTCACAGATTATTACAAATGAAAGAGTAGAAAATCAAAGCTCAACCATTGGCACAAAAAAACAAAAACAAAAAAAAAGGAATGAAAACATACCACAGCAAGCAGAAACCACAGCTTGATGAGGAAGTCCATAATCCGACGACTCAGCTGAGGGCTTAGAAAAATGACAGGAAGAGCGGGCGTGACCATAACAATTGTTCCAACTGTGCTGGTCAGGAACAGCATCAGAGCCAAAAGAATACCACCGAAAGGATTTCTGAACTCCATGGTGTTTTCATGAAATATGACTGTAATCTACAACACTGCTCTTTAACTCGGGTTATTTAGTGTAAAACACAATCCTCCATCAAGTATAAATATGAATCTGTTCATCTGCCGAAACTCACATTCTGATCTGTGGATTAAAAAAAACCAAAAAAAACATAAGAGTCGGCTGAAGTTTCAATAGGAATGTGTCCATCAGAAATATTAGATACAATTCAAAATTATATTAAGTAGTGTCAAATGCCATTTGTACAGGAGGCCGTTATAGCAGGTCCGACAGTAGTTTTGTCCCACAGATAACAATGTAAAAAGACATAAAAATGAGATCTCTATGTCTACATTTAAAGAGTATGCCCATTTTTTTTTTTAAATCACTAATCACTACAATCGACAGATCAAAATAACATTTACTTCGATGTGATAACATTAGTTTTTGAGTAGGATAGTTTATTTGCGCAGAGGATACATGGCCTAGGGGTAGAGTTTTCATCTCTCATACCAAAGGCACCATGTTCAAACCTGGTTCAAACAGACATATATGTGAGAAATCAAGTGCTCGTCAAAATAATGAAAGTGAAAAAAACCCAGACATTTTTCCTCAGGTTAGGGAATTTTAATCAATTTTTGCTTTTTGGCTCAACACTTTTCCTGTTTATTAGAGAACACATTTTTGTGTGGATTTTACTGAAAAACATTGACTAAAGGAACAAAACGTAAATTTCCAGTTTCCAAGGACTCTCAAGCTAAGGAAATAACTAAACTTTGGCGGCCATTTTCTCGCTAAAATTACCTCTGAAACCTACATCTCGACTTGTATCAAAGAAAAATATATAATTTTCCATGGAAAGCTAGAAAAAGGAACAAGCTTTATGATGATACCACGTGCCTAAAAATTGACGTGCATCTGATTCTATTGCGCCGCGACACATATATGTTCCAATTTTTTTTCTCTAAGATGCTATAAATACTTCTATTTCTTGATTCTCTTTCATTTGTTCATTTAGGTCCAATATTTTCTTTATTTCAGGAAAAAGATAAACACAATCCGCTTCCTCTACACCCCTGATCTTCTCTCCCACCCAGCGGCAAGCCAGTGAAATGCAGAACCAAAATCGTCACTGAAGTGGTGAGCTGGATTCAAAGAGTTAAAATAAGAGATAAGATCAAGCACCTAGTCTTCCTAGATAACGACGAACAATCTCAGAGGTCCAGTGTACAAGTTGCACAAGTTAAAGATTCCTTGGAGATTGAAAATCATAGAAGGCGTTGAGCCATCACTTAAAAAAAAAAATTTTAATTCCATACCATTAAAAAATATCCTCGTCACACCTGTAAAATAGTAGGACGTCCTTTACACTTACACAATCCCTGGATTCCAAATACATCCCATAATAATGTAGCATAGTTGGGACAAATTCGGCCGTGGGGCAAGTTCGACAGCCTCAACCTAGAGTTGGCTTTTGTGAATCATTTGACCCCTGTGTCGTGGAATTACCAAAGCCTACTTTTATTTGTCGCACATTTAATTCTATCTAAAAATAAAATTTGGGCTTCTTGGGATTCCACTCATTTCTATTTTTAGTCAGAAAGCTCAAGAAAACACCCTTCCAAGTTCGGCCCTCCGTCACCACGTACTTTTCGCTCTAGAAGAAAAAAATCACACTTCACTCGTCATTTACTTTCTTATACACGCTTGTTTCTTGCTTCAAAATATTCATCAGTTATGTATAACAAAACTTTGGTATCCTTAGGTTCATTTAAATCCAACTAGAATTAGAAATGTTGATTATATGAATTTACATGATTTATTAAAAATGATGGGGTGAGATTTTGGTGGTTGGTGCAAATTCGATAGGGCGAAACAGGGCAACTTCGACAGGGGGTGGGCCAATTTCGACCTTCCAGCATCATAAGCAAAATCACCTTTAACAATAAGTTAAATAAGAACCCAGTACTGTTGAAGACATCCGCCCCCTGTTGAAGTTGCCCACAGCCCCTGTCGGTCAGGACTGTCACAGGCTAGCCTATGCCGAAGTAGCCCCATGCGGGGGTCGAATTTGCACCAAGTCCTGTCGAAATTGCCCCAAGCAAGGGTATGCCACAAAATCGTGATTGGTTGAAAATTCGGAATACAAATAGAGTAAAGAACATAATAATTGATAAGTAGAATCGTTGTTAGACACAACGATACCAAGATAGCCTGTGTTTTTTCATAAAGGCAGGAGCAATATCGGTTACTTTTGTGGCACTGCACAAACCTATTGAAGTTGCCACAACCTACCCAAACCAAACTGCCATACAGTTGACCGTGTCTCCCACTCATATACCTCGTTATACCGTCTACCTTGGGATGAGTTAAGTTGGCAGTACAACGAGGTTTTCATGTCCTCTGTTAAATACATAGCAGCACCGACGGCCCAATGTTAAAGGAAAATATCCTTTCAATCTGTCACTTAGACTTGAGCGTGAGTCCTCACAAAAAAAGCCCGAACAGGTATTCCCCAGCGCGTAAGTCATTTTGGGCTGATATTTGGCAAAGCCAGATATTTTTCTCGGGAAGGCTGTACCTTTAAAGTTTCTTCAGGCGACTTTAAAATTTCGAAGTGACTATTCGGACTCAAGTCCAAATAGACAAATATTATATTCAGACTCTGAATTGAGTCAAGCATGAAGTCCGTTCCAACTTCCGACCCTTATTCCTAAATATTTCCAGCATTTACGAAAACATTTTCGATAATAATGATAACATTCAAGACGTGAGCTTTGATATCCAGTTACAAGATCTATCTACATTGGCCCTCCCTGCATCATTAGTAAGAACAGAACAATCAAGTTGAGTTGACCTTGCAGGGCGCGTAGCGATCTCGCACTCTCGGCTTGCAGGGGGAAGAGGTGTTAGGAAAAGGCCACGGCTGTCCATTTTGGGCGATGTGATTTTAACCAAAAAAATTAATTATAGAAAAACTATAACACACACACCAAAATGAAATTTAAAAAGTGGAAAGACAAGTGGTGGTGGAAGTAATGATGATGCTGTAGTGGTGGTGGAAAGACCTTGAGTTGTCGGTTACCGTGTACTTATTACACTGCCATTGGGCAAAGGGAGTGCAGTCTTTCGACTTTTGACACAATTACACAGTTCTAGTAGGAAATTCTAGTTCTAATTCTGGTTTTATGTAAAAATACCCTGACGACAGTTATATTATGTACAGTAGTCTCCGCCTAAACGCACAGTGCCCGGGAGGGCTCCTTAGTGTGTGTTTACACGGAGTGTGTGTTTACACGGAGTGTGCGTTTACATGAACCTTAGCAAAGGAAGGAAGGGACGCAGTCGTTTCATTGCCTTGATATTCTATTATTATAATACTGACTCACTCACCGTCATAGCATGCCAGTGACGTGAACTGTCTTCGAACTCATGGGCCACACTTAATTTCCCCTTAGTCAAACTCTCTTCAAAATTCCCTATTTTTGATTTTCGAAAATTGGTAGGTCTGAAACTGGTTTGCAACTGTCGTCTGCTAGTGCCGAGGAAAGCTGTTCTGTCACTCAGAATAGTTAACGAAGTCCGTAAACCGTCGTAAATCTAGACCTAGCTAGAAAGCCTATCTAGGCTAGTTTGCGTGAAAGCGGGTGCGAAAAAACTAGATTGTGCTGATCCCCTCTCGCTCTCTCATTAGGCTTAGGCCTAGTGCAAATGATGTGTGTGGTGAAGGCATCACGCACGGCGCACCAGCAGTGGAATTTTAGTAGCCGCAGGGGGTTCCTCACCAGGCGCCTTATCACGTCGGGGTCACTGGGGTCAGCCCTCTGTCGCCGCTCTGTCTGGGCCGACTTAATTTTTGGGACTTTTCAACATACAATTTTAGGTGTATCCTTGTATTTATGGTAATTCTCATTTAGTGCACCCAAAGCATGCATTTCAGCTCTTGAGACTCAAAAAAGAAGGGACGTTGTAACTTGTCTGGTTATTTCGTTAGACGCGCTGGAGTCGGCAATGCTAAATTGTACATAATTTTTTTTTGGACTAGCGTGAATGAAAAAAAAAATCATTATAAAAAAAATGCCACGACAAAATCTGTCGAACTTTCGGAACATGAGCGACATAGCATTGTTGCAGATACTCAGAAAAGATGGTATCTGCGCATTTAATAGAAAGCTGTAATTTGTAACTTTATCTTATCCATCGTGCACACAATTGGGGCTATGAAGTAATTCCTCCAAACTTTTTGTATCTAATATAAGCGTGAATATTCGCATATTTTCACGAAAGTTTATAAAAGTTACCATGAAGTTTTTCTATGAAAAGTACAAATCGATTTTAGAGCCAGAATACATCTTCACTGTAATACAGGAACAGTATCTGTTACACTCCAGAAATTCCTAACTTTTCTTAAAACGGTAAGTCTAGATTTTGTAAGTTGACTGAATAATTATTAATAGGGATGACTTCTCGTAATTAGGTTATAAGAATAATTTCCAGCTTTCCAGGGACACTGAATCAGCACCAGACTTTTCCAGCTTTTTCGGTGTTTCTATGACCATTTGCAATAATGACAATGTGACTGGTTTCTTTACATTCATAATTGTGTCCGCGCATATTTCCAACACAAAAACTAAGAATGAATGTGTTAGCTGTCATTATTTTTATTCCATACAAGAAGTTTATCTCTACCCATGTATTTACACGGTTTTGTGGGGTATTTTAATCACTTATATTATATCTTTTTAGTTGTATATGCAGGCTGCCACAGACACAGCACGATTCATGAACAAAAGCAGAGTAACTTTCTCTTGTTTAATAATAAAATAAGAGCTAACACTGGTCGTCTTTATCTAAAAAAATGCAGATGTGCATCTTTCTTCTCTTATAACTTGACTATTACTACTCGCGCAGATGTAAGATTTCTCATGGCAAAAGACATGATATTCGTAGTCAGTTTAAAACAGATTTTGGAGAGATCTGTTGTGCCTTTTTAAAATTAACAATAATTTATTCATAAGTTTGTAACGAAAATAGGACAAATGGGGTACCCTACAAACACTTGTCTAGAACAAAAACTAAGGCACAGAAATTAACCATTCTAACGCAGAATAAATCTCAAGACATTGAGCTTTTAGTACATCCGCGTAATGATTTGCTGTGTGAGATGGGGAAGAAGTACCGTTTTAAAAATAGTCAAAAATGCGAACTCCCTAACCGACAGGAGCAAAGTCGCTTCAGGGCTCATTAACCCCGTGACCCCGAGCCGCGGAGCTCCGGCGGGCTGCCGAGTCACGCTAACTAAAGGTAACAAAATCAGGCGAAAAGTGACGCCGTGCGCGCGATGGTGAAGGTGGAGGTGTGTGTGTGTAGGTGTAAGCCTAGCCATCGTGTGCGTGTAGGCCTACGGTGTGTTAGCCTTGGCCTAGGAGGCCTAGTGTGTGCTGTCACCAGTCACTGTCAGTGGCCAGTCATCATTGCAATGGAATCTGGTTCCCCTCTTTGCTATATATAGATCTAGATTTAGGCCTAATTTTTGTTTTAGAAGTATGCTTGCCAAGTTTTTATTTCCCGGGACCGTCGGTCAAAATCCGTATTTCCAGGACAACAGTGGTTTTTCAAGAAAATCCATACAAAATACAGGGCCCGGGACAGTGGGCAGTTATGCTATGGGGGTGGGGGGGTGAGAATAGCGAGACATTCTAGATCTTGATAGATAGATGGGAAGACTGAACAATACCGGACCACTTGAATTATTGCGCCTTGCGTGAGCCAGATTACTTCCATAACAACGCTCTGCATTGGATGGTCCGACATTCTTCATTCACACACATCTTGGAGTGGGGGGGGTTCAGGGTGGGCTCTCATGATGCACTCACGAAGAATGCCGGACCACGCGGGGAAGGGAGAGACAGTGGCTCGCGCACTCGGCTGACTCAGTCTCGCGATGTTTCACACGCTGTGTACTGTTTTTAATTTTTAGGCCCCGCCCTGCAGGAACATGATCCGTGGTGCGGCATGCTTCCTTGTGGTCCGGAATGCTTCGCCGTGAATGCACGCTCTTGGTTTAGCCTTAGGTGAAGTTTCCCGCACTAGGTAGGCCTACATTGTTGTCTAAATGATTTATCCCGGAAATTTTATAAGAAGACATTGTCGTTGTAATTGTATTATTGTATATTGTTGTCATCATTAATTTGTCTATCATTCCAAGCCACATCCAAGAAAAGGGAAAGTGTTTCATTCAGAATTTTCAGCCGCTCTTTTTTAGAACGACCGACAAAACTGAACAGTAGTTTAGTACAGCAACTTACATTATGGACTAGATCTAGTGCCAGTCATGCCGCTCATCAACATCAACAAGTGTTAGTGTTCGCCGAATCGATGATCCATTGAAACGGGTAACTAAGAATTGTCTCCCTTGTCGTAACTTCATCAACCGGAATATTAATATTTTGAAAGGTAGACCCTGGAAACTAGGCCGATTTTCCTTTCTGGTTTTGTTTTGAGAGATGCATCTCTTTAATTGTATCGATAGTCTAAAGCATTCACTAATTATTATATCTCATAAATAATGTTTACTTCTGATGAACCCACAGTCTAAAGCAGCTTTTAATATTTTTTTCGCTATTCTTTTTATTTGTTCTCTTGGAAAATCCTACGTAGTTTTGATCATAACCTACTTGTATCGTTTCTAACCAATCATCGCGAGGTTGTCGTTAGGTTGTTTACAACATGGCTGGTTCTCAAGTGAATTCGAATTACTTGTACAAGACCTTTCAATGATCTGACTACGCTTTTAATGTGGAACGAAGCTGCGCGTGAAAGTCTGCCACTAGCTTACTGATATTGTAAGGATGTATATTTTGAAATTGTTATTCTTTGCTTTTTCATGTGTACTATGATCTCAGTCAAATAATAATATGATTCCAATTATTCCATAAATTACCAGCCAAAAAGCGTGTCGTTACTTGTTTTGACAGTTCAGACTTTACTTTGGAAGTTCAGACTAGATCTAGATCTAGATATATATATATCTCTATATAGATCTAGACTTTTCTAGATCTACTTCTAGAATCAAGATCTAGATCTAGTTACTACTACTACACATGTCCACTAGATATATATCTAGATCTAGATTCTAAATCTAGAATCTAGAATCTAGATATCTAATGTAATAAGACATAAGATGGCTACTCATCAATTAACCCTCGTAGCGCTCCAGGCGACAAAATTCGCCTCCCCTCTCTCACTCCGCTGAGCGCGCGAGGCGACTATAATCGCCAACGGGCGGGCCTGCTCCCAAGCGCGCGAGGCGACTATTGTCACAATTGTCGATTTAGGGGAACACCTTATTTTTGGAGCAAATAGTGTCACCTTTCGATGCTATTATTAGTTCTGTAATGGAAAATTTTACTCTAGAATGGTTCAACCAATCAAAATCAAGGAAGGACTTCTGTAACGAGCGACCACCCCAGCCTACGCAATAAAGAAGGGACTTTTGAGTGGGATATGTAAAAGATAGGGTTTAGTATTTGGTTGGGCAATAAAGAAAGTAAAGAAAGTTAACTTAATTTGTGTTACTTTGTATTCCTATTGCCTTCCTTTGTCTCTTCTCCTGGAATGGGTATTATTAGTGACATGTTAACATCTCAAAGCATACACAATAATATGACATGATTAGAAAAATCAGTGGCGTGGCTGGGAATCGAACCTGTGAGTGAGGGAAGTAAACATGATTAGTAGTCCAGCAGCATAACCACTATGCCAAACAGCTGGTGTTACCAATGAATGAAAAAAAGTTCTTATAAACCTACTTGAGTTAAGTGTGAGTGTATCACCTTTTAAAATTCCCAAAACGCAATTATTTTTTACATCAAATGGTTTTGACGAGGTTCCTTTGCAAAATTAGGAAAGCTGATGCGATCGGCTTAAAAAAAAACAAAGAAAGAAAAAAAAGTAAATTTCTGAGTCGACTCTACCTCATTTGCATATAAAAAAACGACTTCCGGTTTTTTCGAGTTGCCATCGTGGACAAGCGCGGCTTTCTCCGTACCAGTCTACTTGTATTTCGTTCTTTTCGTACGCCAGTGTCGCGGAAAGGGATGAAGCGAAAAATTATACAAATAACGATTTCATTTCACACGTGTTTTGAACAGACGAAGAAACGGAAAACCTGTCCCTAAAACTTACTTTAATCAAGGAGGCAAGACTCCCCCACCTTCATAAATGAGAGGTGCTGCTCCTGGTCAGGGGGGCAAGCCCCCCTGAACCCCCCCCCCACCTCACCAAATACCCTATGAGAAAAGAAAACCGACCCTCTGCAACGAGCGACCTCCTCAATAAACACAATAGAGAAGAGTCCTAACCCATACCCTGACCCAACCCCTAACCATACCCCTACCCCCACCTTTACCCCAACCCTAACCCTAAAAACCTAACCCTCAACAAACACAAAACAGAAGAGACCTACCCATACCCCTACCCCTAACCCTCAACAAATACAAGCCTACCCCCACCGCTACCCCACCACTAACCCTAAACCCTAGTTCCTACTCCTAACCCTACCCCAACCCTACCCCTTACCCTAATAATCCTCTACAAACAAAATAAAGGAGAGACCCACCCCTACCCCTACCCCAAACCCTAACCCCACCCCTACCATCCTAACCCTAACTCTACCGAAAACCCTACCCCTACACCAAACCCCAACCCTTCACAGCCTCAATAAAGAAGAGGCCTAACCCTAACCCTAAGCCTATTCCATCCCACCCCCACCTCTAACCCTCAACAAACAAAACAAAAAAGAGCCCTAGTATTACCCCTACTCCTAACCCTCCTCCTAACCCTACCTCCACCCCGACCCCAACTAGCTCCAACGACCTACCCCTAGCCCTAAACAAACACAATAAAGAGGAGACCTACCCCGACCCCTACACCAAACCCTACCCCCCCCCCCCCCAAAAAAAAAAAACAAAAAAAACATAAAGAAAAGACCTAACCGTACCCCTTACCCCCATCCCAACCCAACCCCTAACCTTCATCAAACACAAGGAAAGACCTATCCCCCTAGCCCTAGGCCTACCCTGGGCCAGACCCTAACCCTACCCATACCCCTGTCCCAACCCCTACCCCAGACCCTACCCACACCTCTACCCCTATCCCTAAGCCTAACCCTAACAACTCTCTATTTTTATCCGTTTCATATTGGTCGCTCGTTGCGGAATTCCTCCTCCTTAATAATAATACTATGTATTTTGCTAGAATTAATCGCGATGAGAATTTGGTTAGAAACCAAAGAAAACCTGGCAACTCTGCGCTCCTAAACAACGGAAGTAGATAAAGTCTGCGTGATCAACAATGGCTGCGCCTTGATTCAAGTCTACTAATCCCCGACTCAGACCTACAAAACTCTAAACTGGGCCTAAAAATGCGCAATCTACCGTAATTTTGTCATGAACAGATGGTATAACAGTGGCTTTCGGTCTCCCATCAGGATTTTGGAAGCCATTGAATATAATCTAGATTTAATAGTGGTCGCTCGTTACGGAAGTCCTCCCAAAATCAAGGAAAAAATAACCCAGGGGTCAAGGCACTGCGTGCCTTCGTGGGTTCTGTTAGGGATAATATTTATTTAGGTCAATTACCCTGTAGCGCTGAACAGTGAATGATTGGTTTCATTAACAGCTTTCCCTTTTTTATTTTGAAAAACCATACCTCTGGAAAGTGAAGTCTTTTCTAAATTTATAAATTGTCTAGGGTTTTGGTGAATGTATGCGTGCATACTGTCAAGATACAAAATGAAACAATAACATTCTCCGCGTGGGCCTCAAACAACCAGGCCAGCGCTCCGGGGCAGGTCACAAACGGTCAAGGCTAAGCGAACCCGGCACGGAGCCCGGTAAGCGCTACGAGGGTTAAGAATCTACTGTACCCTATATATTGGCTAAAATTCAATTGGACTGGTCATTGATTATCTGATCAAGTATTGGGAAGGGAGAATTGTACACGGATTCCACCTGGAACTGATAAAGAACTATGTTGTAATTTTCTGCACTTTTTCAATGATAAAATTGAAAGAATAAAAACTGAATTAGATCTAGACTCATGTTAGATCATGTAGATTAGATTAAATACAAATATATAGAGTTGTTGATGAAAATCTTGCAATTATGAACAAATCAACATTGAGTGAATTTAAAGTGGTATCAGAGAAAGATTTCATTAAGTATATCAAAGAATCCCCCGCTAAAACATGCGACTTAGACCCAATACCCACTTCATTGTTAGTTACGTGCATAGAAGATCTTGTACCATATGTTACTCGTTGGATGGAAGTTGTTAGGCACGCGTACGCCCGCATAACACTGGATTGTTAGGGGCACGTATTTTCAAAGTCAAGGCCGTTCGGTGTTCCCAAAAATCAAGGCGTTCGGCGGTTCGTTTCCCATTCATTTCACCTGCGTGCTTGGTCGAGCAAAGGTGGGGATTGGGATTGAGACTCGTAAACTTGTTCTAGATCTCTGTTTGTCGGGAGGGAGGGAGAGAGAGTGTATTTCTGAATGAAAAAAGACAGATACAGAGAGGAAAAGAATGTGTGTGTGTGTGTGTGTTTGACAGAGCGCGCGAGCGCACAAAGACACACACACACACACACACACACACACACACACACACACACACACATACAGAGAGAGGGAGAGAGAGATGGAGAGAGAAAGAGAGTGTGTGTGACTAGTGAGAGAGAGAGAGAGAGAGAAATGACAGAGAGAGTGATGACAGGGAGAGAGAGGGATGGAGGGAGAGTGTGTTTCTGAATGAAAAAAAGACAGATACAGAGAGGAAAAGAATGTGTGCGTGTGTTTGACAGCGCGCGAATGCTCAAACACAGAGAGAGAGAGAGAGATGGAGAGAGAAAGAGAGAGAGATGGAGAGAGAAAGAGAGAGAGATGGAGAGAGAAAGAGAGAGAGTGTGTGTGACTAGTGAGAGAGAGAGGGGG